GAAATGGGCATAATAATGATCTTGACCCTCTCTATCCCACAGAATTGAAATGAGATGTATGTAAGTGAATTTCATAAACTATAAATTGCATTTAAATTATTAGTCATTTAGTGTCATGTTCACCCCTTCTAGCAATTGGTTTTGCTGACCACTCACTCCTTTTTGCAGTTCTCAGTCTCAGTTCCCACAATACAATCCCATCCTTTTTAATTTCTCTGCATTCTCGTCCTAACCCACAACTTCAGCTTTCCTTTCCATACAGATCTCCAATTCTAGCCTAACACTTCTGTAGGGGTCTTGACTCCAACCTTGATGCCTACCAACCCAAAACGATGAAAACTGAGCCCATTCTTTTTTTCTCAAGACTGAGAAGGCAAAAAAAAAAAAAAAAAGACTGAGAAGGCATTTTTGTTTTTCCATTCTCTTGAAGCTACCATGATGCTCCTGCTTAAATATCTTTCAAGATTGGAGACCAAATATTTAATGTTTTCTGAATTTCCATTAAGTTTAAGCAGGGACAGAGCCTACACCAGTGTATCAGTTATCTATTGCTGCATATCAAATGACCCAAAAACTTAAGGTTTAAATAACTATCTATTTAGTTCACTTCTGTATGTCCTTCTGCTGCTGCTCTCATCTGGACTTACAGGTGCTTCTGTGATCTCCTGCTGGTCAGCTAGGTAGCTCTGCTTTTGGGGTTGGCTGACCACTGGCTGGACAAAGGGAGATACTAGGCCACATGTCTGTCATAATCCAGCAGGCTAGCTCAGGGTATCATTCACAGGGTAGCTCAGGGTTTCAGGAGCAGCCAGAGAGCAAGTACTGATAGCCAAGTATTCTTTAAGTGCCTGCCTGTTACGTGTTTGCTCCTGTCTCATTGGCTAAAGCAAATTACAAGGTCAAACTTAGAGTCAGTGTTGGAAGGGTACTATCAAAGGGCATAGATAAAAGAAAGGGAAAAAATATTGTGGACATTTTTGCAACTACTACAATTAGTCAACTTAGACATCCAATCTACATGAGTTTCTAATCCACATGATTTTTCTGGTATGGAGCCTCCATGGAAAACCTCCTGCCCTGAGCATTCACTAAGAAGCTGCCTTGAAGGTCTCTGTATCATTCAGGGTTCTCCGGAGAAATAGAACAAATAGGATGTGTGTATATATATATAAAATAAGAATTGGCTAATGCAATTATGGAGGCTAACTTCCACAATCTGCTGTCAGCCAGCTGGAGACCCAGGAAAGCTGGTAGTGTAGTTCTGAGAATCAGAGGTCTGATGGTGTAAGTCACAGTCAATAGCAGGAGAAGACGAATAGCCCAGTTCAAGTAGTCAGGCAGAGAGTGAATTCCCTCTTCCTTGACCTTTTTGTTCTATTCATGTTGTCAGTGGCTTGACTAATGCCCACCTACACTGGAACGGCAGTAACGGCAATCTGTGTTACTCAGTCCACCAATTCAAATGCTAATCTCATCCAGAAACACCCTCAAAGAAATCCAGAAATAATGTTTAATCTGGGTACCCCATGTCTCAGTCAAATTGACACATAAAATTAACCATCGCAGTCTCTAATGAATGTTAATCAGCTCTCGCTTGTCCAGCTCTTTCTGAAATGTTTGCTGGAGAAGTAGTATGATTGCTTGCTAGACATTCTGATTGTCATGAAATACTAATGGTCACTTCCTGGCATCCCCTCATTGCATGTTATAAAAGGCAGATACCACACAAGCCAGACACAAAGCCTCAGGGACACACAGCTGGTCTCTCATCAAGGTTATCTTATCTCTAAACACAAAGACTCAACCCAGCACTCAACCCAGCCCAAAGTCAGCAAAAAGCCCCAAGGTTACTACAACAGTCATGTAGATCTCACTTCCCAAGGACCCGGCCAGGCCACAGCTCACAAATAAATTACACAGGTGTTTTGTTGTGTCCCTTGGAGGGCCACACTCTGTGAAAGTTGGAGTTTGAGGGAAGAGGATGGTGAGCAAGGCCAAGCACACAAGGAGAATTTGGTTCCTGGCCTCAGAGATCTCATCACTGTTGGGAAGACAGGAAGCAGGATCACTGACCTAATCACTGCTGGAGCCACGACTAGTAGGTATGATGCCATTGAGAGCTGCTGTGGGCATGTGGGAATGACAATGCTCTTGGTAGACCAGAGTTGCCAAGGAAGGCATCAGGGAAAAGTCAGGATTTGAAATCAGTCTTGAAAGAAGAGAGAGGTTTCCAGGCTTGGACAAGAGCATAAAAGAAAGATAAGTGTGGTGAAGAATAGTAAAGTCTACACTGGCAGGGAGGGCAGTAGGAGATCAAGCTGTATAAATAATATGGAACCAGATATGGCTGCTTGCGTGATAGGATCTTAATTTAAGAAGAAATCAAACTGCTTATGGTCTTGATGAGTAAGACAATGAGGAAAGTGTCCTACGAAGATTAATTTGGTGACAATGAATTACAGGAAAAAGAAATGGAAGCAGGGATACTAGTTAGGAGACTATTAGAGCAATCTAGGAGTGGTCCAGATAAGTTAGAACAGAGACCAGAGAGAGCAAGGGGCATATCTCAGAGACACTTTAGAAGACTCAAATGTCCAGTTTATATTAAGCTATATCCCACAGTTCAATTCTGTTCTCTTGAGGACTGGGAACAACTTGCCAAGAGGGATAACTATTTCAATGTAGAAAACCAATGCAGATAAATTCACATTCTTCAACTAAAAAATTGGGGGATTTTTTTTTTTCTGATGGACTATTTGGGAGAAAATTCTTAATTTTTCTCTTTCTACACATTTAAATGCAGCTCACAGATTATCATGAGGTTGAGAAATGTAATGTTTTTAACACCTAACCTTGTAGTCAGTTGAGATACGGTATTGGGTTATGTGTTCAATCCCAGCCTAACAGGTAATAATAACGAATATTTAAATACAGTTACCTCACTCAATATTCATGACAACCCTGTAAAGTTAATATTAGTATTATGTGAATCAATACTATTTCTATTTTATTTAGAGAGGTTAAGCTACTTTCTAAGATCACTCATTTAGTAAGAAATAGAACAGGAATTTGAATTCAGGTCTTTTGACTTCAAAGCCCATGGTCTTTTCCCATATCATTGAATTTCCAACACTGCAAAGCAGAGGTTTGTTCTCCTTAAAGAATCGGAATTAAAGGATCAGAATTTTAGGTGTTTGTTCTCTTTAAAGGATCAGAATTTTAGGATATAGGCTGATGAGTCTTGACATTTCCTTAATGTAACAAGTTAAGTCTTTATTTAAGAGATAGAACAACCTGTGATTTTCTTCCATTGGTGGGCTAGACAGATAATAAAAATGATAGCAAAGGTTATTAAAATTTATATGGAGCCTAGCACAGATTGGAATAACTACAAAGTGAATTCTTTAAGCTGCTATAGAAAGGTGGTGAACGCATGTTCTCACTCATAGGTGGGAACTGAACAATGAGATCACTTGGACTCAGGAAGGGGAACATCACACACCGGGGCCTATCATGGGGAGGGGGGAGGGGGGAGGGATTGCATTGGGAGTTATACCTGATGTAAATGACGAGTTGATGGGTGCAGCACACCAACATGGCACAAGTATACATATGTAACAAACCTGCACGTTATGCACATGTACCCTACAACTTAAAGTATAATAATAATAAATAAATTTTAAAAAAAATAAAAAAAAAAAGGTGGTGAAATAGCACAATATGAAAAAAAAAAAAAAAACTCTTCTTTAGCTTCAGATGCCTAAATATGCCATCAAAAGACTGCTCAATTCTCAAATGCCAGTATTTTCTGACTCCTCTAAACCTATTCTTAATGCAAAATATCAAAGTCAGCGGGATAGTAGGTGTCCCAAAATGTCTTAATTCAGAGAATTAGTGTTAACTGAGCCTGATTAGCTCCATTTATCTCTAATTAATTACCTTTATCTAATTAGACACTTTGTTTCCAGTAGACATGGAGTCAAGTAGACTAGATTATTAGTGTAGTCATTGTGCCTTTACAAAATCCTGAAATTAATGAAACGTGCAAAAGAATCTGCAGTTCTAATTGCACAGGTGTTGCCTTATGGCAAAGCTTTATCATCTGATTACACCAAGGGGTTATTAGTGACTTTTTATATAGAGGATGAGCCTATGAAATGTACCTTAGCAACAGCTCATTAGTTTAGGGTTGTTACTGTATTATTTATTACAGTCAGCCTTCCCCATTATCTAGATTGATTCATGGACCTATATATTTTTCCTCTCCTCTGTGCAGAAAAGATAAAATAAACCATCGTTATGAAGAGTCCAGATGCAATGTGAAAAAATGCAAAATGTGTTCATCAGCTACAATTTGACTCTTTAAAACAGAAAGCTCTAAAGATGAGATCAGAATCAAATTTATGGTTATTTTCCACGGGAAAAGAACCAATTTAAAATTACTGAGGAGTATGGAATGATTCATACATGTGATCCAAAAAAATATGTGGCTGCCCTAATATCTTCACGTAACTGAACTGGCATACCAACGTATGTGGAAGACAAAAGCAAAATGTTTTTACATTAAAATACCTCTGGATTTATTTTTACTCATATCGTCCCAAAATGGATTGGCAAAACACGATCTCTATATATGTTCATCCACAATATTTATTTAAAAATCCATCTCATGCTTTACTTTTGGCATTTTTTTCTTTTTCTTTTTTCTTTTTTCTTTTTTTTTTTTTTTTTTGGCATTTTTTTTCTTAAGGATGTGTTACCAGATGGAGAAAACTAACAAATTATACAATCCAGCTTCGCTGAAAAAGTAAGATTTCAATACCTACTTACAAAAATGAAAAGTGCTTTTTCATGGCAAGGTTAGATACCTGCAAAAGACTGAAATAGCTCAACTTTTACATTTTCTATTTTTTTTCTTGAAACTATTTGAAGAAGCACTGTTTTTCACAATCATAATAAGAGTAATTAAACAACTAGAAGCAAATTTAGCCACAACCCTATTGCAACATACAAACATGTTTATTACAACACAGTAATTCCTTTAAATAATTTGTCAACATAAATATGTCAAATGGGTTTTAAAATCATTTCTCTCCCTGTTCCCCAACAAAAAAAGTCCTCTGGTGCTATGATCTATATATTGTTGTTCACTTATTGCTGAATCCAAACTAGTGAAATGATAACGGGTAACTATTATACAGAGCATGACAACTAATTTGAGTGGTAATAATGAATATTTAATGATCCTCCTTTCAAGCATGAACATATAACTTTTCATGTATGCCTTACCAAAATTATAACCATTAATCTAGAATTTATAGTTGCAACTGAGAATAATAGCCAGGAATTATAGATTATGGCCAAGTCAGAATATTGCATAAATATTCTGTATGAACACAAACACAAGGAAATGTAGGAAGCCCCAGCTTTCTGTTTTGATTCAATACAAGTCCTGTCTTTGAAATGTATGGAAGTTGTGTGATAAGTAGAGATTTGAATCCAGATATTAAGATGCTATTATTTCTATCAAGAAATAAGAACAATAGCCAAGGTCTTTTTCACTCTTCACTAGCCCACACTTTGTAAACAAAAATAACATGCATATAAAAATTTGTCCCCTATAGGAGTAATATTTTTAGAATGCTCTATTTAAATCAAGAAAAAAGTGAACATCAAATTTGTCAGAAATGCAGAATTTTTACACCTTAAATTTCATTGTTTAAATATGTACTTAGTTTTCTCAGTGTGTTCCTTTATCAGAAACTACAATGTGACTTTGGGAGAAAGAAAGAGAAAGATCTGAAAAATGCAAGAAGCACTTTAAAATAGGCTTTGTTCACTGATGGAAAATATTTTTGGTTAAATTTCCAATTTATATCACTCCTGATATCTCAATATCAGGA